ATAAGCGCGAATGCATCATCTTTGCATCGACATGAGAGCTCTTTCCGGCATTCCGTATAACTGTTACTTTAACCAGTCTTCAGGTCTTCGGAACATGGCTAAATCTGACACAATTCCTGAACATTATTGTATGCTGTTTTTGGGACGCTGTAAAGCCATCAGTGCGCAGGAAGTTGAAAGATTTGAATTCATGCAGCGCCCAGGTATTGGCGTTCATCCAAAAGGTCCAGGGGAGCTTTATAGCTTTCTCGAAGCTCCCTTAATGACAGTTCTATCCCAATTTAGTACGATTTTTCGCAAGAACGCGCTTGAGCTATGAGGACTCATGACAGCCCTATACACTCCGTAGAAAGCTTTCCACAATGCTTTCTTTTCTCTACATGGACTTGTATATACATAGATAAACCTGTCTTTAACAACACCTAATCTTCCCCAGAGCCACTTCTATGGGCTTTGTGGGAGATGGTTCTGCTCGAAAATCTGATCTCTGTTAGCTGCGATGTTTTTTGGAATAATTCCCGTTTCGTAATGTTTTGTCATTGTCCTTGCTTTGTGCTTATAAGACAATTATAGTTTGTGAAGAACACTAATTAGAACTATTTAGGGTGTCTAAAATATCAGCGAAATAGTCGACATTTCTGTAACAAAGTTCGCGTGACAGTTGGGTCTACGTAACCGGAACAGACTCGGACTTTTATCCGGCCAAGGACTGCCAACACGGCAAAATTCTGCCGATACAACAACAACAACACGTATCTGTCACTAACATACAAATATCCTGTTATAAGTATATATATTGACAAGTGACTTCAAGCTTCTAAATAGCCTTTATAGCTCATATAAATATAAAGCCCAAAATATGAGACATTCAAGGCTAAACTTTAAATTCCCTGTAGTAATGCAATAACTAAGACACTAGTAAAAGGGAAAAATTCATCATCAAATAATCTAATTATGAAGAATACCAGTTTAATCAAGTCGAAGAAGGCATCAAATTCCCACCTTCTGAAGCCACAAAAGATCCTTTGCAAAGCCAGCATTTTCAAAAACATTCCGACACACTAACACCTTATCACCCCTTATCTTTCGCATTTAATCTCTTTCATTTGCTCTCAATGCCACACTACTGATGGCAGCATTAATTTTCCATCTTTATTTCAATCATTTACGACTATCGAACGGAGAAACTCAATTTTCAGACGCATTAACATAAAGCATAATTGCGAACAATTAGCATTTCAAAGAGAATATCCCATCGATTTTCGAACTCAATTGCACCTACACACCCACATACATACCAACCTATGTACTCGTATTGTATATACTATGCACCACAATCCGGCACAAACACTGCTGTGTTCAGGCAGTGCGATTTCTCTCGATCTCGCCATTGTTGTGTGAGTGCAAAGATATTCGTCTTGTTTTGAGCTGCACTTTGCATTCCTCTATTCAATATGCTAGTTGTAGTGGGAGTAGTTTGGAATTACCAATTTAATTCGATGGTGCCTGTGTTCTCTCTTGGCTATTCTGCCTGCTTCTCTCATACTCGACGAGATACGATAACGAGCAATTACTTGCCTATGTACTTGGGCATTACCTTATTATGTGAATAGAGTTTCDCAAAGCTCGCACACACACAAATACATGTAAGCGCATGAAGGATAAATGCAGAAATGTCCACAGAAAGATATGACAAAACCCAGAATCTAGATAATGCTTGTGCGGTCAATGGCGCAGACAGCTGTGCATATTTTCAGATTTGCATCCGTTTTACTTTAGTACTCTATGGCATATACATAACATATGCATGCCTGTATCTACGTATATTCTTTCAGCTCAAGCGATGCAGCTATTTTTTAATTAAAAATATATAAATCTGATTAAATCGCAATCCGTTGACGTTGCTTGAAGCAGCCAAGGAGAGTGCTTTCAGCATGCTTTTACTGTGAATCTCATGTAGCCATGAGTTGGCTGTCCGCTTGGTTAACAGCTCTGGGCTTTAGATTTTTGCGTAAGCTTAGCAAACGCTGGTCAACAACTATGGTAGTATGGTTTAATTTTACAAAACGCAAGACATCCACCGAACTACTTGCTATGAGTAAGGCTCATCTTACCCCAATCGTAGTAATTTTTTGTTGACTTTGTCCTACAGACGAGTTTTCGCTAAGGTTAGAAATTTTGTAGAACCCGGTCYGTCCCGGGTCTCTTAATACTAGTGCAATTCATCGTTCCATTGACTGCGGTATTCGCCTTTGCTAATTCGCAAAGGACCATAAATCTTCCGCAGAACATTTCTCTCGAAAACTCGCAACGTCGRCTCAACTTCAATTTCAACTTGAGCTATAGACAATTGAATTATCCTTTAGTATATTACGTAGTGACTACGATTACTTAGATTTAGAGCTGTAGAACTGAGCTAAAACTAATAAAAACGTATAGAATCTTCTTCGAAGGATACAATTTCGTASTCCTTCACGCTACTGAAAGTAAGTAAGGAAGTAAGGGTGAAATCGAAAGACTAGTATTTTAATAAGAAGGTTCCCTCAGAGAACATTTCTTAGTTAGAGGACGAACATTGCAATTTACAGACGACGTGCTATCCACAAATGATCTGAAGTGCTGAAGTAGCAATTCCTGGCCGAAGGTGGAGAAATGTTGCAAAAATACTATGTTCTTTTGATCAGTTACATAAAAAATACAGTTTACATCACTAGAAGGATAATTTTGAAATAATGCGTGAAGAAAGAGCCAMAGTTTTTTGAAGACAATTGTCACTTTAAATGTGACTCCACGCAATTATGTCTAACATTAATAATTAAAACACCCAGAACTTAAAAACAATGCACAACGATGCCTTATTATCTCGAAAGTCTTGTTTCTAAATACGAAGTGATCGAAWCGTCGACTTTCTGAAATAAGCTTTCAACAGATCACATAAGGCCAATGGGTTGTATTTACAGTCGAACATTCCATTCCAGAAAGCCCCGCCTCGATCATTTCGTGTTCGGTACTGAGATAGTCGAGACAATAAGGCATTGAAGAGTGAAAAATTTCCAGAGGTAATGAAAGTATGTACTTTCGTTCCTTATTAGGATGCACTCTAAATACGGACCATTTCAAAACTCTGTTTCGTATATAGTTTTTGCTGGGTTGCCAGCTGTAGGAAAAATGTAAACTTTCTAGGTGCTAGTTGGGCTTTAGGACCGAACAGGAGCCTTAAAAAATTCCTGAAGTAAAATAATCGTTTARTACAACAATTTTTATTCTAGACTCAGCTTTGAACTTCGAATAAAACTAATCATATTGATCTAGTCTGGTCCAATTAAACTACGCGGGCAAACCAAATCGAGATAGTTGTTCCCTTTGTTCTATGTTCGTTTACGTTTGCCAGGTTTTTAGGACGCGATATTAAAAAGCGAGTTGAATTTTAATTTTGGTCTCCAGTAAAATCACGGCTATCAAATCAAATCATTGAAAATTTTGTAGAATTTTTTATTTTCGAAGCTTACTTTATTACGAACACAATTATTCGAGAATTAYAAAGCATTCAATAAAGTCATGAAAAATCTGTCTCATGCGAGTCGTGCAACTCTGTCTATGACGATAACTTTGGAAAAGTTAAGGAAAAAACCCTTGAAAATCATAGTTTTGACATCAAACAGCAGAGAAACTCAACGTCGGGAAGTGGGACTACACTGTACTGGTATTAAAAGACCTGAATCTTTGTAAAACTGACGATGAGTAGAAGTCGCAATTGAAATTTTTTAGAGACGTTGCTAAGCACATTACATTCCTCAAAAGCATTATTACTGGTGACAATAGGGGTGTTTATGAAGATGACATCGAACAATCTAGCGTATGGGACTCTAAAAATGAGTCGAAACCGAAAAGAAAAAATTTGCTGAAAGCGCTGCGAATTTGTGGAGTTTTACTTAATGCTTCGGTTAATATTTTGGCTAAAATTTTAGTTAATATTTTGGCTAACATTTTGCTAAATTCTTGGCTAATTATACGGGTACGAATTGTGACTATATAAGACTGGTACCAAAAGACCTGAATCTTTGTAAAACTGATGTCGATTAGATATCGCAAACGGGATTTTTGATAACGTAACCAAGGAACCTATGTTCAACAAAATCGTGATTACAGGTGAAGTGACGAATGTTTATGAAGGTGACATCGAAGCTCTCCAAAAATTTAACGAATAGCGCTTCAAAAAGAACACAAAACCGAAAATGCCGAAATTCGTTGAAAGCACTGAAGGCCAGTTCAGCTTAGATTTACAGAAAGTGTGTGATCGAGCATTAGCTTATTTGTATTAGCTCAGGAGCCTATTTTGAAGACGAATTAAATATTAATATTCAAATATTCGAATCACTTGGATCATGGAACTCTGATGGCCCCTTCTCTACCCATATACCAATGAGGGAGTTGTGGGTGGGAAGAATCCGTTAGAGGAGGAGGAGGGTTGGTGGAGGGGTATACTGTCAGAAGCTCTCCATCAACTCAACTCCAGTTTCAGACTTCCTGACTATTGCAGTGTCTTCCAGGCCGAGGTTGCAACCATTAAGGTAGCAATATATTGACATTAAATGCACTGTTAAGTACTAGTCAAAGAGTTCCTAACCTCGCTATCAATGACATCAARTGTCTTTCTGATAAGTATGAGTGCCAGGCTACATCGAAATCGCAGGAAACAGTAAAGCAGAAAAGGCACCCCATAATCCACTTAGTAATGCTGGGAATCCTACCAGACCCCATTAGCAGAAGCTGTGAGGTGASAACAGCTCAACACTTTCTTCTTGACACCGCAGTTAGATGGTCAAAACTAAGCCACGTGCAATTATCAATCATCTAACCTAACCTAACAAAAAACAAATAGTAAAAAATATTTTTGGAGGACTAAAGAGTTTTCACATATTTTTACGAAATATTTATGTAAATACAGTAGTAACTACTTTAGTTGATAAATATTCATAATAAAATAGTTGTGTACTCACATTTTTGCTCAATGAACGCGCAGCMACCAGTTTTTCGGTATTCAGTTCGATGCTGTCGCTCGTCAAGCCCGTCGTACCGCCAATGTTGCCACTCTAGCTAAGCGACGTGCAAATATTTTCAACGCTGTAATGAGTAGAAAATACACACACACCAACACACGTCAGCAATTAAAGGCAAACAAGTGAAATTAGTTAAGCGCATTTAATCATTTTCAAAATTAATGTTAATATTTGTGCAAGGCCGATGARAATTTCTATGTATATATGAAGATGTTTGCACAAATGTATATACCTAGGCAGATAAAAGTTTCATTCATATATTAACTATTGCCGTGCCTATGTTTGTATGTGTTTGAAACGGCAAACAAACTAAAAACTGGCAACAATTTCGTTAAAAGGGGTCGAGTACTTGGCAAKTGTATTACTCTAACCAACACACATGCATACGTAACAGTTATATACACACTTATAGCGCAGATATGCTTACGCAGCTATAGAAATTGAAAAGCGAAAATGCGTTGGAAAAATTTCATTAGCTAACAGTAGTAAACACCGACTCAATGCCAACGCTATACAGGTGCAAGGGTATTCTATACACACATACACACGCACGAACTGATGCACACATAAATTGCACTGGCATAAATTTCCGTTGCAGCAAGCGAACGGTGAACAGTGGAGCGTTGCATGCCAGCCACCTGCTGTTACTAAAGTGAAAGGCGAAGGCTRCCAAGCAAAAAGGCAACCGTGCGAAAATAATGTTGGATCCTGCTGTGAAGGGTTAAAACGCACGTGTATATTTTTATTTATATTCCGGGTACCTCACAATACCAACAACAACAAAAAATGACTGAAATATTTTCATTCCTCCATTAGAATGCTATTAGCACGCGCATAAATTGTTGCTGTTGCTGTTGCTGTTGCCATTTTTATTCCACAGAATTCTTTTAAATCCTTTTTGCCTCTGCCACGCCACACCGGTGTTAAGTTCTCAACACTTTTACGTCTCATTCAATCACAGAGCAAATCTCATGAAAAATGCAAATGACACCTGCTGCTCGCTTGATTGCGTCCGCCTCCACGCGCTTTCAGCTCACCAACTCGTTCGGTTCGGTTGAGTTTGGCCCGCTTGGGTTAGCTGTWTAACTGCTTTAGCAAGCTTAATGTATACTATATATATATGTGTGTATATGTAAATTAGGAACACCCATTCGACAGTGTATCTCCTACGGTCCCACTAAATGCCGATTTACCCAGTGTTTATGCACAATTTATTAGATTACTGATGTGTTTGGTGACGGGCGGAAGGGAATACTTAAGTGGCGTAAATCAAGCCGGCCATCTGAACTTGAAATTAGTAAATTTGTTTACTTYAACTTCTACTTATTTCACTTTAAATAGAGGTGGGAGATGGTATCTTCAAGGACGTACAAAGAGACTAGACAAAATGCATYTTGAATCCTTAAATTTTCCGCTTAAATAACTTTAAGTTAAAAGTGTCAGACTAAATTAAATGAATTTGACTTTTGATCCAGTTGATGTCCTCGTCAGAGTAAAGGCTGACRTCACCACCGCCCAAGAAGTGCGATGGACGGGAAAAGCTTAATTCAGCCRCCATGTTGAAATATCGCAAAATGGGTTTAGTCAGATCGACTTCGCAGGGTTCTGTCTAGTACTAAAAATCATTATAGAAAATTCATCAACCTGGCTGTCTTCAGATCGAAAAGTTACCAACCTGATCAATCAAGTTGTGTTGGACAGACGTCTTTTCTTTGTTTTAGACGTGCATACGCTACGAGGTTCTAGCACCCGTGCAGCAAAAAACGGACGTCGACAAACACAAGGAAGGTTCGACGTCGAGAACTTGCAATCACAACAGACAACCGAACGATTTCTGCTCAACACTCTTGCTCCTTCAAGTTCCTTATGTACAGAGCAGCTGGTACAATGAGGAGTGCCGTGTCGCAGTGGAAAGAAAACAGACTGTCACCTCGCAACGTTACAATCAACCATAACACGGGCGGGATGGTATATTTAAAGAGAGTTGAAAAGGGAGGCCAGATGTACTTTCAGCCCAAAAAGAGAGAGGTGTGCGAGTACGAAGAGCTGCACAAACTGGCCGACAGAGGGTTTCAAGACCGGAACATACTCTTGTGTAACCCCAAGAGGTGATCTAGTAACTCATGCCCAGATCATACTAAAATTATGGCTTAAACGCTTTTCCAGCAGTGAAAGCAAAACACCAGGAGATGGTGAACCCAATTTCCCAACCGATGACGTTGAAGCAGACATTCTGTTCCCCGAACATTAAAAAGTTCGAATAGCGTTTACACGCTGAAGAACAGCAAAGCGGCAGGGCCGAGGTATACAAATACGGCGGCGAAAAACTGATAAAGCCCAAACTCAACAAACTTATTGGAACTTATCAGTGTGTCTTTAGGCCTGGAAATCAGATATTCACCACCCGTGAAAAGATGAGCCACACAAATCACCTTTTCATCGATATTAAAGCTACTTTTGATAGCCCGAAAAGGAGCTGCCGTTATCCTCACAAAACAAATAAGCCTGTGTAAAATGACTTTGGAAAGAAACATAAGCTCTGTCAGGAACAGAAAGAACCTCTTCGAGCCACTCGACACGAAATTTATTACTGGAGAAATGAATTTGAGCTGCAGTGCTGAATAAAGAAGGTACAATCTTCTACAAGAGTGTACAGTTTTCTTTGCACAATAATCTGAACCCAATTCTTGAAGATATCTTTTCAAATGAAGAAGTTTTCCATACTAGCACTTGATTTTAAATGGTCTATATGTTACAGTGGGTTGATGTGAACAATATGTTTACAATTTGTAAATCTTCTTTGGACAATAGTACGTATGACATGTGAAGATTTCTATACAAAGACTTGATTTTTCTAGGTCAGCTTTACGGCAGCTATGTGCTATAATGCTACAATATTGGCGGTTCCGATAAATGAAAAGCTTCTTGTAGGGAAAAGAAAAAAAAAAAAGAATTTATATCGAAATCTCAGAAAGTTTCCTAGTAGCTGCGCCGGAAACTTTTTTTGATCAAGGTTTTTAGGTAGTGTTTTCAATATAGAATGGTAAAGTTCCTTATCAGGAGATGAACTGTCTTCCGGATAATAGGTTTACCCAATATATGAAATCTTAAGTTGTTTATGACTTGGCCCAATTTAGTGTCAAAAATGGATATTTTGAAAAGAAGACATTTTTTTAAACAGAACACACACCGAAAGATCGACAAGCAGCTCAGACAATAACGATCAAATGGAAGAATAAGAGCTTTTAGACATAGCATTGTTTTATGGAACCCATTTATGACGAAAAAATACATTAAGATATTTCAAAGATAAGGTTAGTCATTTGTATTCAGACACGATTTCTTTACTAATACTAAAAATAAGTTTAAAAATTTAACATTTCACTCAAATAAAACCCATAGATTCTGCTTAACTCCGCAAACACGTACCAACAATTGCTATTTATACCCAAGAAAAAWCCTGCAAATATCAATGCAGTGAGCACAACCTCTGCTCCGACTGATGGACCCGTGTCAGTCCGCTGTGCTTCATTTATTTTTATTATCATTATTACCTTATTTAACTTTAATTTTATTTTATTTTCCTTTTGAGCAAATTGTCAGACAAATCGAGCAGACGGTTCGTAGCAGACAGGTGGCACGTAAACAAGTTGTTTTATAGACCGAGCAATACACGAACATACAAACGAACAAACSTTTTTTACGCMATTAAATTGGAAACCTTTGATTTTCTTTATTTTCCTAAAATTTTTATTTTGCAATGTGGCCAACGCGCTGTCAAATGTCAAAAAGGAACATGTGAGCGAAATAAACAGGAGTAGAAAAATATGAAATAAATAAAAATAAAAATGTGTATATGTAGTACGTATATTTGTATTTAACATACTTGCATAATTGCATGTGGAGAAGAGAGTATTGGATGTATGACATTGACATAGTTCAGTGAATTAAAAGACAGACGCTATGCTGACTGGATTACGTCGTCTGAAAGAACGAAAACACTTCAGCTCTTATACAAAGTTTGACTCCGTTTTATTAATAGATTATTGATTTGTATACTCGAAGGAAAGAGTCAGAAAGAGAGCTTAAACCAATTTTCGCGAAAGAACAAAATTATTGACGAAATAGATAAATAAAAGACCCAAAAACTGGGTCATACGAATTTTGCCCATAAATTTTGAGGTTATATGAAAAAAGCCAGCATACAAAGGTTTTAGAACTTTTTCATTTCATAAAACATTGCCCATAGTTTTGCCCTAGATCGAGATAAACCGGATTTAAGACTTAAAAATCCAACCACAGCTCTTCTTTTCATTTTCCGAACTTCAAATCGATCGAAAATTATTTTTCCAAATGTGCATTATATTATCTGTCCATTTCGATGGCTCTGATTTTTTTGCTTTCAAAAAATATTTCCTGTTTTCCTCAAAAATGTACTACGTATTCATAAATTGTGTGTGAATATAGCTTTCAAATTTTGATAATTTTGTATAGCAGTTTTTTTTTTTTATTCCCAAAAATATTTTTTATGCCCACACACACCATCACACCAGGAGCGTACATATAGAAATCTTACGATATATACAGAGTGCCTGAAAGCAAATCAAAAATGCCTTAAGTAAATTATTTTGATCTTGCCGACAGTAGAACACATTATTATTTGCAAATGTTGTTGAACAAAAAACTGTGTCTTTTTGGTTATATAGTGACTTCAAAGCCATCAAGTAATTTCTAGAATAAAAAATTAAATTTAACAAAATTAACATTAAATCTCATTCAAACACGAGATGCATATGTGGACACATACATACATATAGACATTCGTATGACGAGTAAACGCAGATGTTGTTCACTTCAGCTGTGACATCAGTTGTTCGAGTGAAATGCGTTGAGCAGCGGCAAAGTGAAAGGAGCAATGCTGCAGCGTAAAACTTTTATGAATGCACATCTGGCAAAAATTACCAGAGATAATTTCCCAAACAAAACTTAATGAAACTCTAATTTAAAAACAACATGTGATTCCATGCGCTGCCGCTAAAGTAATTTCAATTTTATATAGTAGAA